CTTTATATTTATATGTTAACAAATATTTTTATTACATGTCAAAGATAAGAAAAACTTGAAGCTCATTTAAGTAATTATATATGATTATTTTATAACCATATCACAATATCTTCATTTTATACATTTCAAATTACATTCGCGATTGTGTTATACCTATTGTCTATTCGAGCTGCCTCTGAAGCTATCGCATATTAACTTTTACAAAAAGCTGAAACATACATCAAACAGTTACTTGAAGCCGTTATACATCATTACAAAAAATGCAATGCCTCACTAATTGGTAAAATATTATGATCACCTAAATAAATTAACAAAGGAGCTCCAATTCTGCTAAAATTACGAATATCTACTATATAGAAATTTCAATGGCTTTATTTCGAATGGCATTATTTAGAAAATTTATGCATATAATGAAATTAAGTAAAATGTTTGTTTTTTTTTAATAATTTTAATGCACCATTTATTATAATACTCTATTGAAACATTCATAAACAGCACAATTGGAGCCATATTTATTTTAATAGTAGATACCTAAGAATACAAAAATAGTCAACTCTAAAAGGACGTCGTATCTATACACGAGAGCACACAACAATAGACAAATAGTTACTAGTTTTTTAACCTTCAACAGCCAGTTTCAAAACTGATATTTGAAGTTTTTATAAGATATTCAATCATAGGTATACCTACCGACATTCTTTTAGTAAAAGTTACATTCAAATCTGTCACAAATTAAACAAATTAAGTTTAAAAAGTAGTCGAGGTTAAGAAAAATTCCATTTTATGTTGATAAGGGTTCTACTCATATACATATTCCTTTTTAGGACATATATACTGTCATAAAGGTTTGCGCGAATTGATTCTATTTTGTATATAAACAAAATAACAATATCATGATGGATTTTAGTACCTTATTTATTTCGTTAACAAAATGCTGTGTGGTTTAAAATATAATTGTCCATCTATTCAAGCTTGTGTCAATTAAACAACATTTTTTGTGTGAAATTACTAACTTTTCTTTTTTGGGAGCGTTTCATGTTGTTACATTTAATTTTGTTGAGAAAAAGGGACTGATAGCCTATGGAAATAGGCTATTAATAGCGTAAATATGTTATTAAGAAATGTGATTTTTTACTGTCTAATTTATAATACCAATTATTAACCGACCAGCATAATTTCTTCTGTACTTTTATAATATTGTTACATATCTTTGAGGAAATATCTCCTTTAGAAAATATACACTCTATCCTGAGGATATAAAAGCATCGCTTCTAAGAATGTCCTTCAATTCTTGTCCCTGACGGTTCTAGATAGCAAACTTTGAAAAAGAACAAGCACAATAGATCTATGCAGGTCGCAGTGGTACAGGTCTTAGCACCTGACAATAGCCCAAAACCTTCAATAAAAAAGAAATACATATCCTCATTGACATATTACGAAATACATAATTCTTTAGTGCATTCGCTAACCTATCTAATGTCCTCAACAAAAATAGAACGAGAATATACGATATGTGTGACAAAATGTAAACTGCATATCCATGATCGAAACAAAAGAACTCGGCAACACATACAATTGTACTAAAAATAAAGTTCATCTTTATCATTATTATCATTACACAGCATAAAATAAAGTCGCTGTTGCTATATGTCCCTATGTATGCTTAAACCTTTAAAACTACTTAACGGATTTTGAAGCGGTTTTTTAAATAGATAAAGTAATCCAAGAGAAAGGTTTATATGTATAATACATGTACATCCGTGCGAAGCCGGGGTTGGTAGCTAGTTTATTACAATCTAACAAATCTATTTTAACACATTAACTTAGGACATCTATATCATTCATGAAGAGATTACTGCCGCTAACTTGGCAGATTGCTGTCATCAATGTCGTGACCGCAGACTCAGTTTCAATATATTAGTAAATTTAAAATATTAATTCATATGTATGTTAATCTATAATGGACCTAATATATGGACCTAGTAGCCTAAAGTAAATAAATAAAATTATACATAAGTGTCTTCCGTAAATATAAAACGTCAATTATAATTAAATAAAAGTAATTAAATCACAGAAATCATAACTATTTTATTGAAAGCATTGTAAGTCCATTCAATCATTACATTTCGTTAGGAATTATTCAATATATATACATAGATCATCCATCCATCCATCCATCATCCATGACAAATTATATAACAATATATAAAAAAAAAAACAGTCGCCTTTTCAAAGAATTATGGTTTCAATTTGTATACAGTGTTCGTCTTGTACTTTTTGTTCCTACATTCCAACATTTTTTCATTCATCTTTTTATCCAAATCAGTTCCTAATATCAGTCGAGGACAAACTCACATTTAATAATGACTAGCTGTTACCCGCGGCTACGTCTGCACATGCTTTCAATCGCTATTTCACGCCCTCCCAGATTATTTTTTGGGATAAAAGATAGCCTATGACTACCCTGGTAATACAATTCATCTTCAGGTCAAAATTCATTAAGTTCCGTTTAGCTGTTTAGTTGTAAAAAGGTGATAGGCAGATAGATAAAATGACATATTTATAAAATTAGCTCAGATTATATTCTACTGTATAGGTTATTTTAACTTAAAACTTATATAGAAGCTTAATTAGAGACTAGTTAATACATGCGACAATGCACATGCACGATACACTGCGCTAAGGACACTGTTGTATGTAAACGCGTAATAAAAAGTTAGTGCTGATATAATTAGATGTTGGTACGTTAATTAATAAAATGGGTCCTTATTTGTAACTAATACCTGGTTATATCCGCACTGCCAATTGAGAAATAGGCTGATTTTTAATTCGTTACTTATTTACAGACCTGAATGATGCAGACGTGAGTTACAACTAAATAGTCCCAAATGGTCCGGCTTTATAAACAAATGTTTAAATAAAAATGTATTTAATCTAAATGAAAGAAAACCTCAGGTCTGTATATATGTGCTGTGCTATACCATAATATTCACAATATAAACGTATTACTTTAAAAAATATATATTAATTCTTGCACAAATATTTTTATAACTATGGTAGGGTAGGGAACTTACTGTGTTTTAGTCTTCCGCAATAATGGTTTCGACTCCATTAAATGGGCCCCAAATATCCTGTAGAAGACTTAGTTATAAAAATATTAACTAGTAACTTCTAAAAGTTTTTTCTGCAATGTGAAAAGTACTTTCCATTGTTACAATTGTATTATCATGGTTATTATGCTGTAAAAACCACACTATGCATATATGGAGTGCGGTTAGGCTCATATTCGTGTACATATTTATAATTACTTACATAGGTGCAATTGTCTTATTTTTATCTACTTTACAGTGAAAAAATTATTACAAAATTTTATTACAATACATAATTTAATTTTTATATGGCTATATTTACTTTTCAGAAGCAATTGCATCAAAATTATTACGTAAATTCAATAAAAATCAAATTAAATGGAAATCAATAATTATTTTTACATTATTATTACAAAATAAAAAGCAATACTCGTAGTTTTTTGTTTTACAATAATATTCACCGATTATTAAAATAAGATATAAATCAGCTACAGCAATGATAAAAAAAGGTCCATGTAAAAAAAATACATTTAAGTATATTCTTAAAAAAAAATATATAAACTGCAATTTTCACTATAACAGAAAGGTATCAAGTAAAAATTTTCATCATAGTTTCAGTCATAGTTGATATTTGGCCACAATATAAATAAATAAATATCATACACAGCGCCATCTAATTCGAACTAGAACTAAATAAGTGATAGGCATACATTTTTTTAATACATACACAATAAACATAGAAAGCAAGCACACTAATACAAATGTTCGGATTGAGCTGAGATCGAGCCTATGACCATTGAGAGGTGAGCCATTAAACCGTTACACCACCAAAGTCTTCAAAATCAATTATTTCGGAGCCTATGTAAAATAGGATTGTTTCGGAGCATATAATTAAAATGAATCTCATCAAAATACTTTACCATTACTCATAAAAACTAAAACCTGCAGGCCATTTCAACTACAACGGTATTTTGTCACTTTCCTTCAAACGGATAAAAACCATAATAATAAATATATTTTAATAACTGTAATATACGGACTATGAATAATTAGAATTATTAGACATTTTACATTTTTATTGATAAACGTAAAATTGAGTACCATTATAATTGATATTATGCATTAAGAAGGCTAATTAATTTATTAGTTTTGATACAAGTAGTAAATTCTCTCAAATGTATGCTACGTATATAATGGGAATGTAATGTTATGAGAATAACTATAACTATGTAAAATTGGTATCTATTAAACTTATTGTTATTATTGGCCATAACCAATCTGTGATATTGGATATATTTTAGTCTCCTTGACCAATCATTGGTCCACGAGTAACAGTAGTTACTACTATTCTCAATACAAGTAATCGCTACTTGATCTGGTATTTCAATAAACCTGCCAGAAAAAGTAGTTACAAGGTAAACTTGTTTTATTATGGTTAAAACTAATTTAACAACCAATTCAAGACCAATGTAGAAATATTAATTGAGTAAGTGGATTTTAACAGTAGTACAATAATACAGATGCCATTTCCTCGACTACGGAACTCAAATTTAACAATTACTGTCTATTTTGTTTATAATATTTTTCTTTCTTTCTTTCGTCTTTCTTTTATAGAATTATATACGTCGCCTAATGACGGTAACTAAATGTTTATGGTCTCACACTCGCTAATAGTAGCATGGAATTAAACAAAATAATACAAATACATTTAGTAATTGCTATCTATTAAATAGGAAAATCCTAAGCAATGTGTGGAAATGTCCTAATATTATTATTATACAATAGCACTGTGATATGACTTACGACTATCAATCCCGGATTATTTATATAGGCAGTATAGGCAATAGGCCTAGCGTCGCCTGGAACTCTCAGGGCATGTAAAAATATAAGACAAAATATATTATAGCGCAAAAGAAGAAACTTGAACAATTAAGAAATGTCTGGTTTTAGGCTGTCTTTCGATAATTGGAACGACGCTGAATGGTACATCTAGTCTAAAAGCATAACTTAATCCGGCACCGATAGTAATTACATATATCTTGTATATATTTAAGTAATACACTTAAGCAGTCTCATACAACAATGCAGGCTAGCTCACATATGAAAAAAAGTTGTAGCACTGCTGTGACATTGTCCAATCCACAATCACAACACAAACAAGTACAGTCATGTCTGCATCTGTTAGAGCAGAGATTGCTCCACCATTATCTTCTCATAGCCCGCTGGCGGTGGGTACAGGAAATTTTCTAGATTTATGTCTAAGATAGCGCCATCATCAACTGAAATTTAATTAAATATGGTAAGTTTTCACTACTGACTTTCATTTTAAACAGACTTCTAAAGTTTTTATGTGACTATATGTTTATTATGTATATATGTTAAATTTATTATCTATATTTTATTTTAGTATTGTTTTTGATGATTCTTTTTGAGGGTTTACACTCATAATATATTTTTTTAATTATCGAAATCATAAAATTTTTAGATCTTTATTTGAAATTTAATCTTATGGAAAATGTATGTCAGGTAGTATCATATAAATAATATGCAAATTAAAGAAAAGTTGTATGATATTATTTACTAACAACAGACCATCAATGTACTAACCATAGAGCGCGGGATAGACAGTTCCTTTAATATTTCTTATAGGCACCTCCATATTCTTTCCATTCAAGAAGAAATTGAGATCTACATGGTCATATGCCACCCCAATCGTGTCTCCCTCTACTGGCATTACTGCAACTGTACTTGTATTCTCGCTTTCAGCTTTTTCATACTCATGACTTGGAGATCCTGTAGATACAAGCAGATCCGCTGTTGGTGACTCCCTTGGAGCTGGCGCTATCTGGTACAACTCAATGTTGGCATGCCTAACTGTTCCGTCACTGTTCAAACACCATGATTCTTTGTCCAGTCCACCTGAAATCACAAGTACAATAAAGTTATATCATATAATAATATACTAAAGATATAATAGCATATTTCGTTTTTCTGAGTAAAAGTAAATTGGACTTTTTTTTGACGTTTAGGTAATTTTATACTGCCCGATTGTTACCTCACCATGAAATAATAAATGAACAGATTTCAGGGAATGTTTATAATTCCATATGTTTTGGAATAACTGGCTTTTGGCTCTTTGAGTCCATCATTACTAAAAAGGAGACCTGAATGAAGCAATAATTGTGCCATAAATGATGCTAAGTTCTGGTGTAAAAAAAATTATGTTATCATTGACATGATAAAAGAAACCTCACATAAAAATATGTAAATATTATCAGAATTAAAAATTAAAACAATACAATTTGATACCTCTATTGTATGCATGCCCAAACAAAATAGAGGTCTTTAAGTCACAAGCACAAAGGTAGTAACAGCAGAGGAATTTAATATATATGAGCAACATTAAATATTTAAGGTAAGTGCACCAATAATTATAAAACACAACCAGTTGCCACTAAGTCAAAATGAATATAAATTAGGCAGTCACAAATGAAAGAATGACCTCTGTCTTTGACTCATTGAAATCATACATGCCATCTCTGGTTTTTACTGAAGGTTAAAAAAAGTATTGTTATGCCAAGTGGTGTTATGAGAGTGCAGGTGCTTATGCCTCATGAGTCATGTGGCCTTTGCAGGCTTTTAAAATCTTCATGAATTACTGTACACATTTTGCATACTAACTTTTATTTATCACTACATAGAAATCTTAATTAGTTTACTTAAAATGCGACCATAAATAATATGACTTGCATTCTAACTGTAAATGAGAGGACAGTCCTTTTATTTACAGTGTACTGTACTACTGCTATATTAAGATCTTTTTTGTTTAAATGACGAAAACTGTCAATTTGTCTTAATAAACTGTAGACTGTGAAGGCATTCTTAATACAATTTTACTAATCTTAATCTTTATTACCTCCTTTCTCCATTACCCACCATTCTGTTCAAATTAAAATTACAAATTCAATTGAGAAAAACTGACAACTGTAGTTATATTTAAAGTAAATTTGTTAAGACTATTTAGTAATTAAGGTACATTGAATTTAAAATCCAGGATGTAAAGTAAATTATAGTATTTCCTCAGCAATTATGTTTTAACAGAAGTAGTCAATTTATTAAAGGTAACTTTAAAATATTCTATATTATATATGAATATGGAATTTTTTTTATAATTTAGTTAACAAACAATATCAGAATATTATATTGCTAAAAGTACACAGTGTGTTACAGTACTAGTGTGTCTGTAATATCATAAAGTACACTATATTTATAAAGAAAACTATCATTATAGTGACTATAGTAGTTATGTACTTATAAAACAACATTACCATGAACTTTACTGACATCTGTGTCTCTGGTGGCAAGGCCAACAGCCCAAACTCCTCCCTGCTGCAGTTTCACCTCAAAATATGACTTGTTCTGCACAAGCGGAGCATTCCCAAGTGCACAACCAGACCCACACACGCGCTGGCCTCCTTTAACAACCACCACTTCATGTCCTGTAAAATATAAATTAATGACACTCTTTTTAGCATATAGCCAAAGAACTCGAACATAAAAGTTTGAACAGTTAATATATTGATTTAGTTTCAGATGGACTTTTAAGGTACATTTAATGCATAGTTATTATACCAACAATGTGAAAATATCATAAATACTTTGTCTCTTTCTAAATCAATCAGTTTTTTAAGTACTCCTATTAAATAATTAACATTTTTTAATGGTTTACTATTTCAGTGCAATTAAAATAAAGAATTATAAATGAAACTGAAAACTAAAGGTCTCAAATTAAATTATCCTTGGAATGATCAAATTTATACTTAAAATAAATACATTTTGAATGTTTTTTATAATGTACAAAATAAAGTGTAGTATACTGTATAGTACATGCAAGGGGGTGGATACTGCCTCACATTGACTTTTTGTTTATTGTAGATTTAACAAATCCACTATTTTGCAGTCTCATGCACTCCAAGCACTGAAGGGTTTTATTTATATAGTGAAAAAGCAATATTGCTGACTTATGGAACCTAATAAGATATTTGTCTAAATCATTGAGACCAAACAGAGTACGTTCACGTTTTATTGTGTGTTCACTGTTTATTGTTTATTGTGTACAAAATTGCACATAAGACATAAAATAATAAACTATACAAACCCATGTGTAATGTGTCCAGTTGTACTGGGTTCTCTTTGACACGAATGGGCACGCTGGGCGTCAAAGTGAACCCGTTGAGACATCCTTTCAGACAACAAAACATCTTGGCATAAAAACTACAAGAAACGAATGTAAAATCAATCAATAACAATTTACATTTCCCAATTATTGAATTATAGCTACCAATCGGTGTTATTGTATAAATAAATTTACGTCATTTTCATTCATAATTTAAGTGACGGATTCTGACACATGAATGAATGACGATTGACTAGCGACTGTCAGACTGTAACTAATGACAGAGCAGCGTAGATTAATAGTTTAAAATATAATTCATTCATCTGTGCTAAAACATGGGCATTTAGAAAAAACGGCTGCTTTCAATTAAGCAAATAATCACTTCGATTTTATAAAGTTGCTTCCAAAATATTGAACATATTATTGATCTAAAAATGTAAGTTGCTAATAAAATGTATTAATATTACTTAATAATTATCCATCTACTACCTATAAATGGTAAACATCTTATTATCAATAACCAAAATATTTCAGTGTTTTTCACGATCACGATTTAAAATCAGCTCGTAAGAAAGGAACTAAGTAAGTAGGAAGTTAGTAACTAAACTCCAGTTTATATATATAGTTATTATGACATGTCGCCAATCATAAATACATTTCGATGATCTATTTTAATTATTTAGGTATATTACACCTGCATATTGTAGCCGGATATCGGTTTTACGGGGGAAAATACATATATATCGCGGGTAGGGAGTAATTGGTAATAATATCTTATTTGTGGTAATAGAGACTAATGACCCTGTAGCTAATAATGCACTAGAGCAGCGCGACCTCCACACAGACTTTATGTGGGTATTTCCAAATGAAATCCTCACGATGGGCTGACCGACATGACTTCATGCTCATCCTACATCGAACCGCCCCGCGCCAGCATAAATCGTTACCATTATATTCTATTTATTGAAAAAAATATCCCTCATCTTATACAGGAGGATATATAACGTTGAGAACAATCTAGGAAGACAAATTTTAGTCAAAATGATGGTACATTTTATAATATTAATTTATTATGTGTATTTGATAATATAATAACCCCTTAAGTAATTATTATTAATTATTATACGACTATAAATACAAATAATAAACCTATTTGAGATTATGCCAAAACAAATACTATAGTAAATCGTACATAATCGTTCCAATCTGAGACCTCGAGACATGATCTGTTTGACAAATAAAGGAGCTCTCTTGTACCAATGACTAGGACAAGTAATCGCTATATTTGCTCGTGCACATAAAGGCTTATTCTATCAAGTTCTATGCTGTACCTACCTACTTATTTCATTTTACTCGAGAGCTGTAAAAATATATACTCACTAAATATTATATAAAAGGCAGAGTACTGATACGATTCTGTACGAATATACAAGTATAACTCAATATTTTTTTAACGAATTATGTACCTACTCTATTATATTATGTGGAGAATGATAATATAAACTGGAGATCAATTCAGTTAGTTTATCATGACAAATTTACCAGGTATAGCCACGATGGTTTCAATGGCGTGGCCGCGTGGAGGTCTCTGGTAGAGTACATTATCATCAGTGTGGTCACTAGATCCTATTGCTATCTAGCCATCTCCAAAATGTGGTCAACAGTCCTATTTACTATAACAATCCCTTCCCCCTTAATTATACTTAAAATGAATGAAAAGTATCACGGAAGATCTTACATAGTAGGACAAAATAAAAGTACCATAACTGGCGATATTAAGTCATGCCATGACCTCATCATTGCGGTAAAATTTCTCTTGAGAACGTTTACCTGTATGTTTTATGTCATAGCCGTAACTTAGTTTAAATAGGTAAGTCTTGATGTCTACACATCTAAACTCAAGTGCATTTATTTATAATTGCACTCTGAAGTACAGCTTTCTAAAGTATGGAAATCTATTATTATATTTACTACTACAGACGCTACTGGTTACACACTATTTCTTCGCATTTTTTTAAATTAGTCCATTAGTTTCTGAGCCTGTTCAATGCAAATAAACAGATAATTAAATGTTTTCTCTTTTCGATATCGGTCTAGATTTTAATAATATAAAGAATTAATTATAAAATATTAATTAATAGTTTGTTTGTTTAGCTTATTAAATAATAAACTTTTTTTTAATAATTAGGCACTGGCGTGAAAACATACTGGTAAAGGCATTAGATAGAAATAATCATTATATATAAATTCGTACAAAACATAAATTTTATGCAACGTCATAATGATCATTCAAGAATGCAATTATTAAACAAATGTTTTTATGTGACTGGTAAAAAGTCTGCCGCCATTTACAGTATTAATTTGGTATTGTTAACGGTAATTACTACAACTGAAAAGTGTTCTAAACCTAAAAATTGAATTAGATGGGTACAACTTCTAAATTCATGACCACTCGGGGTAATAATCTTGCTACGCTAAAGATATTTATAAACTAAAATAAATTATTCTAAAACAGCGCACTCTTATTTCGTGAACACGCAGTAACCAAAGTTTTCTCTGTAAATAATCATATAGGTATAAGTAAGCATTATTGACTCAACTGATTTGTTCAAACTTTGTAGGTATTAGACAGTTGATTTAACACCAATATTTATCGTTATAATTAATTGGATTATGCAATTATAATTTGACGTCAATGTCATTGACACCCAATTTACATTTTTTATGCGACTGGGAGTGGCAAACAATTCAAAGCGTCTACACACGATCCTAAAGTCAGTGGCAAATGGAGCAGTAATAAAGAGATTCCTAAATCGTTTTGTATGTAGGCAAATCGTCAGGAATAATTAGTTACCTACCGATTTACTATCTCCGATTTTAGGGCCGTATGTGCTCGGTTTTAACCAACGCCCCTTCTGATGGAAAGTTGTAACTTGTAACCATTGAAGTCTACGAGACAACACCATGTAACATCACATAATACGCGGGGTGGGGATTAACAGTAATAGGTATAGTCAGGCATTTATAAAATCGTCACCTATGGTATGTAGGTAAGAGTGGGGAACAGGGACCTAAAGATGTAATGAAAAGAAAGTTGGAAGTGAAGAAAAGTTGTATGTGGAAAGATTTAGGAAGGATAACGGGACACTGCAGTTCTGAATGAGATATGAGGCGATAGGAACTCAACATTGACTTTATAGATATAATATGTACAATTTACATATATATAAAGTTACTATTAAAGTCAAATAATGGAAATGTCAAAATATAATAATGGAATGGTGTACCCGCATCCGCTAACGGTTTACATTGGCGGGACACCAGTAGATGATTGAAAGAGCATCAGGTCCATTAGCCCATCGTGACAAATTCACCAGGAATTTATCATCGTGATTTCCAGGAGAAAGCGCGTAGAGACCTGACTAAGTTTCACATTACTGAAATCCCTTCCCCCTCCCCCGACTTTATATATTGCCAGACTAATCCTGTCGACGCCCTGATTATAATATTTCCAACATATAATAGGTAAATACAAGTTTACTTTGTTTCATTAAATTTGAATATGTTCCTAGTGAAATGTTGCTGTAATATTGGTATTTAGGTGTAGTCACGCACGAGCACTAATATGTAAACAATTTAGTACTTTGTCACAGTGACATTATTGGCAACTCCAAACATTTTTACACATTACCATTAAATTGTTATTTTAACGAGGTACAACATTGTTTGTACACATCTTTAGTTATAATCCTACATTCATATCAATGCACAGCTAGAAATTATGACATACATACATTTCATATATAGCCCTTTTATATGGGATGAATATAGAATGATGGACCCATTTCGCAATTCGCTGGTGAGTCAGCAATGGAGGATAATAGAATTAGCAGTTAGTATTGTCAAAGTTAAAATAATATTACTTATATATACATCGCTGCGGATTTACCTGAAATTAACTACAATTGCCTCAAGAGAGGTCGCGTGAAAATCTACTTAACTAGTACATTTAGCGACGGGGGCCCCGTTTTTTTTTTGTTTTTCATTTTCCATTTCTTAACAGTTTCCATTGCTAAAAATTGTCCTGTTTGTAGCAAATAAAAGAATCCATTAAACATTCCAAAAAATTACTTCAATTTTCTTTAACTGCTTTTTTCATGCTATTAATTTTATTCGTCTAAAACATTTATTCTAAAAAAATATATATTTAAGTATAAATTACTAAATACCTATTCAAATTAATAGATAAGTACATGCTATTATATAACATCTGTTAAATCTTAGAGGATGACTTCATTACCGGTGATTGCCAACTCAACAATGCGTAAACTCTACATAGGTACTTACTGTGTATGTGCACGCGTGCTTATCAATTGACCGAAAGTGGGTAAATACTCGTCAGGAGTCGAGTATGGAATGCTAATAACACCCTAAAGTAACCAAATACTTTCTATATCATGAATTGCATTTGATAAATAAAACAGTTACACTGTCAGACTTACACTCTACCACCCGTTTCTATGTACAACCAACAACTTCCACAAATATAGTTACCGACTAACATTACATGAGTATATAGATGATACAGTTCTAATTGGCAGATTCTAATTTGTATTTGATCAAAAATATAACAATAAATTGACACACAATTTTTTTTATGTTGACCAGAATCCATTTACGTCCTATCGTTCTAAGTCGGAGTAACAAATCACTATGCCATGACGCTCACAAAACGCTAATATTTTTCTACACAATCATTTATCCATGCCTACTAAGCTGAGATAAATCAAATTCAGATTTGTATCTCTTAAGAAAATGGAACCTAACTTGTGTTTAATACACAGTGATAAATAAGTATGAATAATAGCTGTTACATACGACTTCGTCTACTTTTAATATACAAACGCTAGCCTACGTCCCTCCTTGGTATATAATAATCTATCTTTATATTAAATTTCGTTGATTACGTCCGGACTTTTAGTCTTCTAAAGATACCAAACAGACAACACACTTTCTGATTCATAACATTAATATGGATTATATCTACTATTAGTTTATTCATATTTTTAGGTTAATATAAATATTATTTTATTTATTTAATATATTATTTCTTCTATTTGTAATTTTCACTAATAAGAAATTCCTACAGTAACTTTGGTCTAGCCCTTATTGCCATATCATTGCATTTACATGGAAGTGAATAGCATGCAAGACCTATCCTAGTTAGGGTTTAAAAATAGATTAATTAAAAAAGTAAGAGATCCGAAAAAAATTATACTCTGTGTGTTATTATTTCTTTCATATCACAATTTCTATAATGCTCTAAAAGCTTGATGTTTGATATTTTAGATAAATATAGAAATCATCGACATATCGAATAAGAAACAAACTGACATCCCTTCGTAAACAAAGTTATATACGTCGAACTCGGCAATAAACTATCCCAATAGCAAATTAAATAACTGAAATCCATTCCGATGATCATACGAATAAAAAATACCGTCGAATTAAACGCCCTCCTTTGAGCAGTCGGTTGAATAAAAAACAATTACTTAGTTATAGAAAGAGGAATAATATGACTGAATCGTTAAGTATAAATTTATCAATTTAACATTTTTCCTCCTAAAGGGCAAAAGCCACCCTCCAGGAGCGGCCAGATGTCTTGTCACACGGAGACGCAAGACACCTCCATATAAAACGGTCGCGCTGCGCACACGCATCAGTTCAGTTTGTGACGGATCTACAGCACAGACACACGGCACGGTGAGTACCATATTTTTTTTATATTACCGACCTATATATTTATTACTATATATAATAAATATAAGTTGAAATTTTCGACATATAGTTCATATAATAAACCGTGTAGACTGTGTTTATATTAAAAAAATGTTGTTTTATTAAATAACTAAATATTATAAATAATATTACATATCAAATTATGACAAAAATTTAATAAACAATTTGTTTCATATTCAGAATTGTCAAAAAATAAATATAACAATTATCAAACGAACCATGCAATTCTTATTCAGATTTGACCAACAATATTACTTTTAAGAAAAAATATTTTAGTATAAGTGTATAAAAAAATTGTTATGTAAAACAAGGTACGTAATTATTTTTGGAAGTATTTACTTAGCTATAATATGATGGGTTTGACAAATTTTACATTTACCTAATTGAATTAGCGGATATAAGGAAATCTTTTAAATTATGTACTAATGACATATTAAAATGCTAACTACCTTATTTTAACGCCCAAAGCGTTAAAATAGTGTTTGGGGTTCATCAACAAAGGTCGCGGGAGGAATGAACTGGCTGGTAGGACCCGGGGCAAGGTCACTTTCTAACGCCCAGGACCGGTCCGATCACAGCGCGGGCGATAACCATAATTCCAGGGAAAGTTTGTTTGTAAACAGTATTACGGGATTCTAAACCTTTTAACGCGGTAGAGAGATATTATAACAATACAACAACTTAAGTTACTACCATTAACACTGGGAACTCTAAACTGTAATGGACTTTTGACGACTTCCGTAGTGCGATGGGCAAATATAGTCATTGCTTTCCGCACAGTTCCCAGGTTTGATTCTCAATACAGTAAAACAAGATGTAGTTTTACCGTAGAAGAAAAATATTATAGTATATCAAAATGAAGTTGTAAGTAGGTATGAAATATAACCTCTCTCGTATTTTGTTAAATCACATATACGAGATCTACGATAAATTATGAAACTGAAAAAAAATACGTTATCGAAAATATTAAAAAGCGTGTATTTCCTGTGACAATACATAAGTACTGATATATCTGTATAGTCCAAGAAAATCTAATTTAAATCATGAAATACTTTTTTAAATTTCATTTAATAAAATAAAAACGTTGGAAAATGTTTTAACGTACGTATATGTGTACATATATCATGAATAAATATACAAATTGGGATGTGTGGAATGTATGAATCTTGATATCCCTGGAGGCATCTATACTCGTAGGCCTTTATCTGCTTTGTTAATAGTAACAGGTTATTATAGACCAAAAATTCCATAATCGTTAAAAAAATATAATCTAACAACGGTCAATGTCAAACTGGATCGCGATTTTTATTTGTAGGTACGTTGAACTTGTCCAAACTATATCAATCGACTAAATTAAATAAAGATACCGTTTATGCTGTAAGATAGATATTAACTTGGAACGACAATCGTATTTTTATGTATTTTTTTATTTCTAATACAATAAGCTATGTCTAGAATTGTCCAAACAGCTCTTTCTGACGAATCTTTTATTTTATATTTTAGTTTCTTCATTGTTATTTACATTTATTCACATTTCTATATCTGATACCTATGTTTGTACTTATGAGATGTAAGTATTATTAAAACATTGCTTTAGCGATAAGACTGCCTTATGGTGTTTATATGTCGTTATGATATGTGGTTATTTCTTTAAATAGTTATATATGTAAATAAAATGTATTCCATCCATCTAAAAATGTCAGTAAAACTCATATCTGTCGCACACTCAGCAACAGCTCCCAATGAAATAATATAAATTAGTTTTTAATATTTATATAATAATTTTAATGTTTAAATATTAGCTAATATATTTACATAAAAAAGTGTTACATGTATAAGAAATAATGTTATATATTAATATAATTAGAATATCCTCAGTTTAAACGAAAAATGTGTTAAAATCAGATTGCATAATTAATCATTATTATAATGTTACCTGATAATATCAAATTTAATTTTAAACTATATTCCTACATTTAAAAATTGAACTAATAAGTATGTTTCATACGTCAGGTCCGAAGTGACACAACTATTTTAAGTTACTACAGGAAGGAAAGTTTCTGTATGTTTGTAAGTGTCTTGTTTAGTAGGTATTATTTTTCTCCGTACAAAAGTTGCCTGGTAGTAGAAATCCTTTTAGCCATAAGGCCGGCCGTTGTTTTCTCTTTATGATCTTAACATCTTTGTTGTGTAACGTAATAGCTAGGGATGGTATATTTCGTTTAAGGTATTTAGGCAATTGAAGTTAAAATTCGATATTATTAAATTATTCATATAGGACAGTCCAGTTTTTTGTATTAATATTTTAGTTGCAATTATGTGTAACAATATTTAATAATTTGTAATTGTGTATTGTTTATTACAATGAATTTGTTAAAGAACTAAAATTGTATTGTGCTGTACTGTAATACAAGTGGGATAATAAATTTATTGTTTGAAATATTATTTTTGTTGCATACATAAATATCGTAAGCCATACAACTATAACAATAGCATGTTTATACAATTCTTATTAGTCGGTCTATCTGTCACTGCGTATGGCGTATTTTTTATAACGCAATCATTTTCTAGAATACAAACCGTGTGAAAATTTTTATGATAATAAAAAATTAAATGGATATGATTTTATATACACTTATATAAATAAATATCGTCATTATGGTGAACGCAATAGTTGAATTGTTCAGATTTCGCTAATATTAGGTTCAGTAATACTTTTAGATAAATATCATTTCTTATATACTTACATAAATGTGATTTATAACGAAAATATTTATTCAAACTTTATTTAATCGTAGGCGAGATTCATGCTATTAACATCTCTATCAACCAACCTTAGGTAGTGCAGAGAACTCTAAAGCGGTTTCGTTAATTAAATAAAAAATATATAATATATGAAATAAACATAAACATTAAATGCAGAGCTCTACCATAGAGAGAAATACTTACACAGTTAACAGACTATTTATTCTTGTTTCAGATGGTGAAACAAATGTTGTCAGTGATTTTATTGGCGGTAGTTGCGGTGGCTAGGGCACAGTTCAACAACGGACGCATTTTGGAACCTCCTATTCCATCACAGTGCGTGCAGAGAGTAATCCACGAGAGATATGCAGACAGTAAGTATTTATATCTATTGTAGAGATTTCTAATAAAAAAATACAGACCATATTTATCGCAATATAGAATTATCGCAGAGGTATCGCAGATGTCAAACAACGAGAACAATTAGTAACTTTATATATATTAATCGGTCAACGAAAATAAATCATTAGGTGTGTGTCAAGGCTATATGTAGGTATGGCCGGTGAATGAACTTACGTTCTACCTACATATATGTTTGTATCTTGACATCAAAGCTACGAAAAGTATGTAAATACGTTTACGTGAGAAAAAAAAATTATTATTAAGATATTTATATTAATATAAGTACTAACTGATTCCCTTGACTTAGTCTGCTTTTTCTGAAATAAAAGTAGCCTATGTTATCCGTTCTAGTGATGTAATCTATCTTTGTGAAAGAGTAATAGACAGACAGAGAGTCTTTTTCATTTGTAATATTAGTAAGTATAGATTTAATAATATACATTTGTTATTCTGAAATTACCGAACTAAAAACTGTAATTGATTATATATGGTAAATAATACCAACTTAGAATCACAAGTACTATGTCAAACGCGGCGTATTATAAGGATTTTGTAGGTATTAATCAGGTGTGACTATAACCATTTAAATTATTGTTATTGGAAATGGAAAGTAATAATGGAATGTCATTTAAACTCACTTTTTGGAACTAAATGTTTCATCTTATCAAGAACTAATTTCATAGCTGTGTAAATAAATAAAATATTGGGTTACGTCTAAGACACCGTTCTTTATCTGTAGTGTTTCTCAAGAAAAAAAATATTTTTAACGTAAGAAACCACAACCTTAGCTTGAAGTGGAATGTCATTATACAAACTATAAAACTTATCTCTGTTTTGTTCTGTGATAAGACTACCTAGTCCCCGATTATCCCTGAACCTCTTTAGAAGAAATGTTGACACACTTTGATAAAAACGTATTAAATTACATCGTTATTATGTCATCATTCATATAAAAATAGTAAGAATAAGAAATAAATATAATATTTAGAATACAATATTAATAGAGGTTTTCGTTATTTCATTCATTTAAATTTCCGTTTGCTGGCATATCTTAAATATATAAGATATAGATGCATACAGGATGTACCTAAATAAAGATGACCTATAAAAGTTGATCTATAAAATAAAATTAAGATGAGCTTGTAGTGGACATAGATACAAGTTTTATTTTTATGAAATTGCTACTAGACAAAAGGTTTTTGTAAGAATGTTACTTTTTTCGTCTTAACGGCTGAACGGATTTTAATTCAATTAAGTGTGTAGATTATAGGCATCACGAGGACGGACATATCATAATCTTAATAAAGTTGACGAATTCTTGAGTAGCATCTACTATACATATATACCTATTTTAAAACCATAGTTACCACCTTCCCAGTGAAATAAAAAAAATCACGTGTACAAATCATGTGGTACGCACTAAGTATTCAAGTTCTATCTGTTGAAATACTTAATATTTAACTATTTAGTTGTCAGTATTATTTAATCACTGCACTACACTTATAGTTCACATAGGAGTTTATCATTTGTTTATATTATTATCATTTGTAAATAACCAAGAACTTCTTATCGGGTCTTTTTGTATTTGTGACCAATTTTGACTTAAATGAATCACATCTATTGATTCGGCAAATATTTTGTGTACACCGTTTTGAGCAAGTTTTATGTAGCCCGGATAGCTCAGTCGGTAGAGCATTGGACTTTTAATCCAAGGGTCCAGGGTTCAAGTCCCTGTCCGGGCGGTTATTATTTTGAACTCACTAAATATAGTAGTAGACTAGCAATAATTCTTTCGTTATTAACGTAATTCGTTTAAATTCACAACAGGATGTACCCAACCGATATGTGGATTTGACTGTTTTTTTTTGTGTATTTTACATACATTTGTGTTAAAAATTAAATAAACCCCTTTAAAATGAACCTATGTTCACATTAAATACTTAGGTACTTAGCAACAATAGCTAAATAAGATTGTTTTTATCAACAAGAAAGTCAGCTTTTACTGGCGACTAATATCTTGGTTCCCATCATCACAATATGTACAATTTCACCGTAACATGTAATCTTTTAGATAAAGAACTAACAACTGCTAATCTTGTACAATTTACTTTCTTGTGTTCTGCTTAAATTGGTATTTTTCTTTATTTTGAACATCATGAACATGAGCCTCACGTCACACTGTATTTGTGTACCTATTCGTACTAATAAAATATATTTGTACCCATATTTTAAATTTATTATAAGTAAGACCATTATGGAGTCCTTTACGAACACTTTCTTTTCTAGATAAAGGCTATTTCTTCTCTTGGCGTGATCCGGCGCTTCGCGGTGTGGAAGAAGACTGGTTGAGTGCTAGGAATTATTGCCGGCAACGCTGCATGGACCTGGTGTCTCTAGAAACCAGTGACGAAAATGAATGGGTCAAAACTAGAATTGTTCAGGATAAGGTGAGAGGATAATTATTTGTTATTAGGTTCATCATACAATATACATAGGTATATGTAGTACCTTTATCCCAGATGGGAAAATCAGAGGTCAACTGTCAACTTTTGGGCAGTTAACATATTCACTTTTCGCGGATTATATATATATGAGAACAATGTGGCTTCCTTTGCATTAATTTGGTTTCTTTATCAGTATTTTAATCACCAGAAAGTTACAGACACAAAGTTTTTTCTGTCGGTTATATTTAAATTCTCAATGAAATAGACACCGTCTATATATTCATGTAGGTACGGTGACATCATACAAAGTTATGATTACGAGTTTTTGCACCCAGGTAAAGTCGGGGCCGGTCAATAGTTTAACTACTAACTTAACCTATATTTAGAAACCGACTATTATTTTTATTTAGGTAGACTAGATGTTGCATATTTTCCCACCTGACAATAATAATGAGCAATGCTGGCCTATGACGAATCGCTTTTAGTCGTCATTCAGTCTTTGTGAAGAGACGTCGATTCACTATCCTTGACCTGTATAATAATGTGCATCGCATTTTCGTAAATTTAGCAAAATATTCACGCTTGATTCAGATCTGTACACCGTGACCATTATAGCGTGAAAACGGAGCCTTTTTCAAAACACACCAAATAGAAAGAGAAAGCAGCGCATTCTTTGGACGATATCTTTGACAAATTCATAACGTGAACTTTTTCGTAACACGCTCTTTGGCACATACATACCCAAACGAGTTGGCCTTTGTTTAACAGTCCGCTAAAGCATCTGATTAGAATTTGTCTTTGTCATCCCACAGTAACAATAGAATGCCTAATCAATTTCTCTCAAGTTTCACTATTGCTACTTGTATTTCCTGGGAAAATTATGGTTTTATAGTCGATACGCTAGTATAACTGAGTAGAAGTTGCGTTTTTATCGAAAATGTTATAATAATTGTAGAGACAGACAACAAACTTAGACGTAGTCATTGAAATGATTAGCCAACAAACATATTATTTACTATGGTTATATCTCACGACATTACTCACGTACATTGTAATTGTTATTATACTATAAGTATGTTAATTTACGATTAATTAAAATCCTACCATTAGCCACCAAACTACCTACCGTTGATTATAATCTTATACGCGCACCTAATCTTTTTAAAATCATTTACCTACTTCACTATTTCCCAATCAAATAGGAAAATCATAAAAATTTAAGCATTCTTTCTATAAAGCATTATGGTTACGTATACGGTATATACATACGTAACCATAATGCTTACATTACGTGCATTCCTCTATTTAGATGCATCTTCAATACTAAGCTTTAGAATTCAACTATAATGTAATTGCACCATAGTAAAAATATTTTACAGTGATTTAATTTTAATATTGGACCATTCGTATCGTATTATCATGACAATAAAGAGAGCGTGTGTCAGTTAATATACTTTTAAATTTACGAACGGTTTGCTCTTAGCTTGAAATTCATATAACGCTAAAGACGTTCAGTAATTGTGACAAATTGTCGTATCTCCTGTTCATTGTATGTAATCAGTGGAATCTATCATGTTGTTCCCTTGACTGATTTTTTAATTAGGGTTAAATCTACTTAAAAAGTTATACATTTTGAACTTGTCTTTTTCTAGATCTTTTATACCTTAACTAAAATGGATAGTTACCGTTACAGTTAACCGACACGAAAATAGAAACAAATCACTAGATTTGTTCTATCGTATCGTATCTCTACAAATCTAATGATTTGTCCTACATATATATTTTAATTATGAAACAAGCTCTATACTTTGTTACTTAAGTATTATAAATAGATATAAATTTGAATGTCTTAATGACTTTGCAACCGATGTTTATGAAACTTGATCAATAGAACTTATGTGGATTTTAATAAAATTATTAGTTTTAAAGGAATATGTCACCCATTTGCTTTTTCTAGGTGAAATACATCTGGACATCGGGTCGTCTCTGTGACTTCAAGGGCTGCAATCGTCCCGACTTGCTGCCTAATGAAATCAACGGATGGTTCTGGACCGCTGAACTTCAGAAATTGGCGCCCACCACAAACCGCCAACAGAACGATTGGTCGGAGGGCGGCGGTATCGGAAAACCGCAACCGGACAACAGGGTAAGGACCTTGGATCTTCACTTCCTCACACCGATGTGTAGGTAGCGTACCCACTTACAGAACAATAGAGTACTTGGATGACATTACGAAATCAGTCATACGTTGTGATGCAACGGAGCCGATTCCGCGAGCAGTTAGGTAATGTCATAAAATACTCGTCAACCCAACGATTGATGTATGTATCCGCATGGATATCGCGCAATGAAAACGAAAGCGACACGGAATATTTATAGGCAGGCCTGCGAAATATTCGCCGAAGGGCGTACCCGCATGCGTACGGCATACCACTTTCTACAAACAGGCAACGTCATGCTGAACAAAAGCTCATCGTTATTCAGAATGCGTTGGCGACATAAAATATGTTTGCGCGTCACTTTCCCCTTGGGGCGGACACGGGCGCGATGCGCGGGCGCATGCCAGGCCGCGGCCGCACAAGCAAACAATACGTAACCCTTTGCGGTCGCGGTCGGATCATCCGCATCCGCTTGTTTTACGTTCAAGGCAATCTACAATTAGGTAACCAACACCTGCATGTTCATTCGACCATTATATAAAAATTATGCATTCCAGTGACAAACTTTTTTACTAACATAAAAATGGATGAGCTTCATTTGACATACCTTTTTGTGCGACATGTTGTTTTTGAGATATTTTTTCAAAACTGAATAATTTCGTTAATTCAAAAAAATTTACTCCTCCTACTTATGTTAGATTATATAAATAGATACTACTTCACTTAGATTATTAGACTTCACTTAGTCGTTTTGTCTATACCGGCAACTAAAATTATTCTACACGTATATTTGAACCAGATGGGCTAGGTAACATAACCTGATATAATATGTAGTTCGTATATTACATTGAATCAGTTTATAGTTTAACTCATATTTAATATCTAAGTAGTTCAATAATGAAGCTGGTCAAAGATATAAATTAATTAATTGAAACTAGACAAAAATTACAGACTCATAATAATAATAATCTAATAATAATCTCAGGCCAATTCACACAGCGCCATCTAGACCCAAGTTAAGCTAGCTAAAGCTTGTGTTATGGGTACTAGATAACTGATAGATACAAATACATAGATATATATTTCTTTTTGTAACTACATACATATTATACATAGAAAACACCCAGACCGATACAATCATACTCATGAATACAAATGTTTATGCCGGTCGTAAAGCGGTGTGCTAGACCGCTAGACCACCGAGGTCGTCATAAGCGAAGCCTTTAACGCTTGCCTATTATTTTTCTACTAATAATAGTGCATCAGCCTGTTCTAACGGTATACCATAATGGGACACCCTTAGAAGATGACAGAATGCCCATGACGTCAGGTCAGTTAGTCCATCGTGGCGTAACGACAAGCAAGTAACGGTACTCTAGTACATTGATAGAAATAGGTGCACTAATTACAAAAGTAATTATTATTATTGGAGGCTAGTGTTTGGCTTCTATAACCGCATAAGCTGTGGATTTTAGTAGTTTTTCCTTTTGTTTAAATTCTTTATATTATGTCCTACAGGAGTTGATCCAAGGCGGAGCAGCAGAGCACTGTGTAGCGATCCTGAATAACTTCTACAACGACGGAGTGCACTGGCACGATGTGGCCTGCCACCATCGAAAACCATTCGTTTGCGAAGAGAATGATGCCCTACTCAAATACGTTCGATACACTAATCCAAACCTCAGAGTTTGAATTTAGTAATGATGTAAAGAAATGTTGTGTATTTTGTAGATTACAATCATTCTAAATAAGATCTCCACTGGCCATAGTACCTGTAGATAAGTGGCAAATTAGATATTTTAATGAGTTTACGCTCCGATCAGCTTTGGCGTAGTAACTTTTTACAACTACAAAGCATAAAGTAATAAATAGAAATAGATTTTTAGCTGTTCAGTGGTTTAAATACCACTCATAAAAGTCTCGGCGAATACTTGATAGTTTGTGTAGTGCTATTAGATATCATATATGATAAAAAGGTAAATTTAGTATGCTAAAACCCATCAACGCAAAAAATATCAATTTGCCGAACATCTGGGCCGTCTGATCCTGGGCATTTTTTTTAAACATAAAAAAACTTTAAAATAAAGTATTACCTTTCAAGAAACATGCCATTGGAAATATACTAAGCTTGGAAAGCGAAAAAGGAATGAAATAAAGGAGGAATAACTCAAGTCGTCCTTTCCAACTAGGTAACCATTCATTTTAAATTAAAGCCTTGTAGAGACCTAGTCCTCCTTAGGTATGGTCTTACTTTGACCAAACCTTGTGACATCAAAACTACACTGTATTTTGACGAGAAATACTTAAAAACATTACCCTCTTTATTCGGCAGTTGGGCAATTATACTATGCGGAAGCTTTTTCATTGTAAATTTCTTTAATGTGCAATTACTTTAGCACTTTTGTGACACATGTTTAATGCCTAATAGAGCATTAAGGAGCAATAAAACTTAATTGCCTACGATTTCTAAATTATAACTTATGACTATGGTGCTAGCTTTAAGTTTACCTCAACACATATTTATTCGAGTATTGTATCTACGGTAGTCATATGAGAGATTCAAGATTTTTCTATGATCTGTCAATAAAGACTGCTATACCTATTAGTCTTTATATTGTTTTTAATTTCAAAATCCTCATTTTTTATAGCTATCCATATCCTTTGAGATTAAGTAAGATTCAAGTCAGAATTTACCGACATGAAGATCAAGAATGGCCACACAATTCAATCAAATATTCATCTTAGTTGTTGTCATCAAAATGAAGTTGGTTAGTTTTAGCACAAATAGCACCTGAAATTTAAGTCTACATTTGGTCTCCCTTCCTCCCTTCCCTTCTCTTTTAGTCCGACACTTAACTGTAAGCCAATTTGTGGCTTGGTTTCAAATTAGGCACTAAATACTATGAGAATAATTAATAGTAAAACCAGAGGGTGAATTATTCTATTAAAAAAATTAGTAAACCCAAAGTTCCTTAATATACATGACATTTGTAGATAATAGCAGGTAGAATTAAAAAGAAAATGTAAAAACAGTAAAAACATTATATTCATAAAATGTTTCCTGACAATCTATGGTGGAATGGTCATTCTGAATCTGTAATGTAACTTTCTAGGAGAACCCTTTTTGGTCATCATAAACCAAAGGCAGATGTTACAGAAGTAAACAAGGCTCAGGAGCATTGTCACATGCATGAGATGACACAATCGAAGGAAGTTCAGTTTCAAACCAGAGCTGCAACATTATTACTTGATTCAGACAATTTATAATTTTATTATTCTAACTAAGATTCAAAATTGACCACATACATATTTTTTTACAAATGGTGTGGTAAAAGTGTTACGAACTTACTGCCCACTTGGTATTAAGTGGTACTGTTTAACATATAAACAATAGATTACAGAATAATGTAATATCTTTACAACAAAAGCGGTACAATAAACATAGAATATAGTAACTGTTAACAGCCATAATGCTCCTGATATAATGTCATTTTTATCATTCCAAAATATATAATTACTATAATGTCCAGCAAATGAGTTGCTTAAATTAACTTAAATTATCATAATCAACATTACCTTTTTTTCTTTTAACTTTTAGAATTAAATTTACATTTTAGACTATACAGGTGAACTTTAATTATCAAACATTGAAAAGTGTAGTTATTATACTGTACTATTTCATTTAGTTGAAAATGTGGTATTTTGAATATTTTTGTAGTATATTTATGTAATAACAATTTATCATTAATTAATATGAAATTATTAAATTACTTATTCGCTTACTCTCTGTTAGAAAATTCTTCAAGTTCTGAGTTGAGAAACTCATTTGACTGTTGTGGATCTGGTAACTTTGTAAAGTCCTTATCAAACTGTTCCTGTAGGCAACAAATCCTTTCCATAATGAACAGCAAGAGTATTGCCCAGAAATATTCAAATTCAAACACCAGTCCAGTCATTTTTTGCCTTCAACCATTATTATGTGATAACCAAATTTAGTTTTTATTGGAGGATCGGTATACACAGGGTTCGTAACTGACGATATAGGCAAGGCAAATGCCGCATCTTGGAAGGGACCAACCATGGACCCTCGAGTCATCCACCCGAGGTCTCCACCCTGCCTCGCTTTGTCTTCACTATATGCGGCTGCTACATCGGGAAATTTTTGACCAGCTTTTAGTTTTTCCAGAGCCTCTAAACATTTCGATTGCTTCTCACATAAAATGTGACGGACCTTGACAGCTGTCCCACCTTTTTTCTCTTTAGCAGCAGATTCTTAATTTGAAACAAAACAAGGTTTGTTATTATACCATTTGACAGTTTCAACATAGGTAAATACGAACATTTTTTAATATTTAAAATATTATTATAATGAAATAGTTAAATGATATCCTGAAATTAATTCACTTTTTTGCTGAGTGTACTGATCTAACCTTTCGAATCTCCTCCCGACTTTCCACCGCCACTGCCTTTGCTACCGGCTTTTGCGCCCTTATCAGGTTGCTTTTTAGGAGGCATTTGAACTGAAGGGTTTATTACTGTTTATTATTTTTTCTCTTTTAAACAAACATTAAATAGGGTGACGAAAAAGTATATATTTATTCAATTTTTATTAACATTATGAAATGTTAAAGATAGTTTATTACATGGTTATATTATATTATGAATCATGTAATGTTTAAATTACAAATAAATAGAAAACCAGTAAAAGAATTAAGAAAATAATTATTAATCAACTATCAGATAACCACAAAATGAATGAATATTATACGTTCTGTAGTAATCTGTAGTTCGAACGAACTAGTTCGAAAGAAAGCTAATACGCAAACTAGATCCTAGTCTTCGCTCATTAATTTGTTCGATAAAATAATACAAACATAAATATCATGCTATTTTTGCGACAATGTTGACAAATTTTAAGCCTAAATATTTTTTTTACTGAGTTGAAAGCAATCAAACGAGTTTAAACGACTTCGCAAAGGACCTTCGAACTAAACTAAGCGAAAGGCTTAGTTAGCGCGAACTATTTTTTTTAATTGATTCTTTCCTCTTATTATAAAAACAACTAATAATAATATTCCTATGACTTTATTCGCGTCTAATATGATCTCCATCTATTTTGTTTTTACTGTTTTCATCTCCAATTCTATCATTGTGTAAACGAATTAGAAAATATCGGAAAATTTTCATATTCAATGAATATTGACAACTTTGTAGTAATTTAAAACTGTACTCTGTGATCTTCGTCCTGTGTAATCTGTGGTCTATTTCTTAATTCTTATTAAGCGTAGTGATTACTTGCCCAGTGCTTAGTATTCAGTTCTGTCAAATCAAAATAGCTTACCTTTTTGTATTTCTATATTAAAACCAATATAATAATATTTTAACTTTATCATATTTTATCAACTTATTTATACATTTACATAGTTATAGTTAAAAAATGATATGTGGTCTATATAAATTTTAAATGAAAGGTATCAAAGTTACACGAAATCTGGATTGGTAGATTTGAGTAATTGTAATGTTTTTGTTTTCTATTATTCTAATATGTATTTCACAGATAAATCTCTATATCCCGAGAACATGGGAATTATGTACGAAAAAAGGCCACTTAAGAGGCCTCGCCTCGGGCCACCTGACGTGTATCCTCAAGAACCTCGACAAAAGGAAGATGAGCTTACGTCTACCAACGTTAAACTGGGCTTTGCTATAACATCACAAAGTGACGAATTCGGAACTGCTAGAAATTCAAATTATTCGGCATCAAAGGTACGCTTATACTTTATGCATTTGCTTCTTTTAATAATGTAATGAAAAATGATAGGTTTTGTTTTTTTTTTAAATAACATTATATAAATATCTTATACTATAAAAGAATAAAAATTTTTAAAGGAAGACAGTTTTAAATATAATCTTTCTCACATTATTAAAAATTGTTTACTAGTAATGACATCTATAAGACATTGTATAATATTTCTTTTTGTTATTTTACCAATAAATAATGTTATACTAGTATTTGTACTTCATATTTCTATAAGTTTTTAATTGAAAATTATTTTCTGTGTGAAGTTAACTGTCCACTTTCAGCTGCAATTTCATAACTATACAACTTTTTTAGAGAACAAGTTATAAAATAACCTATTGACCTCTTTTTTGTATATTGATTTATTTTCAGATTGGTCAATATTTCTCAGGGATATTATCAAAAAAGGAAGAGCTTAATACACTTCCTGACTGTGGGCGAAAAAGGCAGCAGGTCAATCCTAAAGACAATTTCTGGCCAGCTACAGCTCGCACTAAACCACAGATTGAGGCTTGGTTTAAGGATTTAGCTGGTAGAATCTTTGTGCCTTCTCTTCTTACATTTAGAGTATTTTGTTTGTTTTTGTTGGTTTTGTACTTAATCACACATTTTTGTAACTGGATGTACCTATCATCAATATTGTTATTGTTCTATATCAATATTGATATGAATATAGATTATATTCTATTTTAATAAAGAAAAAGAATCATAAGAAATCTAAATTAACTCTTTAATTTATGAATATTTGCCAAAAGTGATGGTAATAAATAAAAAAAGATAACAAGAAATTGATATAATGTTATTATATCTCAAATCTATACTTAATATTATTAATTTTTCTATTTAGGTAGCAAACCACTTTCTCAACTAGCTAAAAAAGCCCCAAATTTTAATAAAAAAGAAGAAATCTTCATAACATTGACTGAATATCAAGTGTCTATGCCTAGAGCTGCCTGGTTTATAAAGCTGAGTTCTGCATACACTGTGGCTGTCTCTGAGGCTAAAATCAAGAAGAGACAGTTACCTGATCCAACTACAGGTAAGATTATTATCTAATTAGTAATAGAGGTGTGTCTTGCTGGATGCACACTGCTGCCTAGCTATCATAAACTAAATTACAATAGGTAATTACTATCAATATAATGTTGACTATTCTATTATTTGAGTTTGTTAAATCATATTAATATTTTTCCACAGCACATAGCATTAAATATAGTAAACTGCTTTCTCTACCATAAAGTAGTATGCTAATAGCTTATTATTTTGAATAATAAGTTTTTATATCAAACATTTTATTGCAGAATGGACAATCACATTAATCAAGTTCTTAAAAGATCAAATTCCCAAACTGGCAGAGTATTATCAAAACGCAATACCAGGAAATGTATCTGACAAAACACCACCTTCACAATCAGGTATATTATTTTAAAATATATATATATATATTTAAAAATTAAATTATCATGAAATGTAGTAGCATTTTACAACAATTGTTTAATTGTGAACAAAAATTTAATTATTTAAATGACGTAAACAACAATTACATGTGTTTTTGATGTCCTTAACATGCTATGTATATTACAGGTCAAGGCACTCCAAATCATAACTCATCTGGTAATCCACCAGGAAGTTCCACTCCAAATAGCTCTACCGTACCTAATTCACTGCATTCACCTGGCAATACTAGCAGTATGTATATATTTCTATCTATATTCAGTTTCCATATTTAGACCCTAATCAATATTTGTTAGCCAACTTGTTGAGACTGTTCAGTCCATGAAAAATAAAAATCTATCAATCAAAGATAACTCTCAAACTCCTCATAAGATCTTGATAAAATTTATATAGTACAACATGAGATGCACCAGTGTTCAAATAAAGGTAGGATTATCTAAATTTCGTCCCATAAAAAAGATTCTAAGGAAACACAAAAATAGTTTTAAAGTTTACTTTTTTAAGTTGTTTGATATTTTATAGTGGCTCATCCTTTTTGCACAAATCTCTCAAAATGTTATGTTTAAGTTTGATGATGTATTATTTTTATTATTTGTCTTAGAATATGTGAATCTAAATTATATACTTTACTAACTACTCGCCTCGGCTTCGCACGTGTTTACATGTATTATATATATAAAGCTTCCACTTGAATCACTCTATCTATTAAAAAAAACTGTGTAGTTGCGTAGTTTTAAAGATTTAAGCATACATAGGGACAGATAGCGACAACAACTTTTTTGCATATGGTATACTATGTAATAATTATTAAATCTGTATAATGTCTTTCAGATGCAGGTTCTTCAACCCCTGGCCCTTCAGAGAGTACTGATTGGCGGCATGCTCTAAAACTATGGAATTATTGCTGTCGTTTAGCAAAATACTTGTTGGATGAAGGCTTGCTAGACAGACAGGATTTTTTGACTTGGATTATTGAACTGTTAGCTCCTGATGATGGTCTTTTAAGGTAAATTATGTATTTCGTATTACTATTGATCTTCATAGTTAAAAAGTTCTCAACTCTTTTAACTTCATGGGTCAATCAAGGTTTTATAACTTTTGAATTTTGAGGTATCATCAGAATTGAAACTGCAATTAGATATATAATTCATGTACGTTTAATGTTTCAGGTATATTATAAGTATTATATGTAGGTATAGTATGGTATAATCTGTAAATTTAAAATAATTAAAATCAAATCAGAATATTTTTATACATGTAGATCTTTTACAGACATCCTTCATTCAGATAAAAGTCATAGTGAGTGGAGTGAGGTGCTTGACTGTGTATATTGTAATAGGGGAGCTTTTTTCGGCTGTTGTTATTAGAGCTTAAAGCGCAAAGTTGTCTTCATTTCTTCTCCATTGGGACTATACATCATTTATGAAATTCCAGTCAGACAAATTTAGAGAAATTTCCTGTTGCAATATATTGAAAAATCTTTATTTCCAGACTATTCCTTCCACTGGCATTGCAACACATGAGTGAGTTTGTATGCTGCGAAGGTCTGTCACGACGACTGGCGACCACTTGCGCCAAGAAGGCAGCCTCCATTTGCTCCGTCCTGTCAGAGAGCACAATACGAACGCTTAATCAGCCCGCTGCCTTTATAAAAACTATAGAAAGTAATGCAGGTATTTTGAATTTGCAATTTTCGTACTATTTTATTAATATCATAAATATGCAATAAGTATATTAAAACATAAGTTTTCTTTTAATTAGTTTTATCGTTACGGGCAAATATTATGTTATGTATAAAAAAATATCTTTAATAATGGTCTTTATTAAAGTAAATGCTTTTATTGAGACGGTATAGATTTATTTTATATATATTCATCATCTTAAATAAAGTTTACTATATCTAGATTCATACAAGTAATCCTTTATTTTTATTAGAACTAATTGAGTTCAGTAGTAAACTTAATAAATGTGTAGTAGTTATTATACAATTTATTTATTGTTATCATATTAATTACTTATGTAACAACTTTCAACATGCAGAGACCAGTGGCGCGCCAATGTCACCGGCTCCAGAAACGACCAATGGCGACGTGAAACCAAACATATCGCAGATAAAACGTTCCTCAACACCGGCTGACCAAAATCAAGGCACACCAAACCCCAACCACTCCCTCGGTACTCCTAACCCTAATCATTCATTAGGTACTCCTAACCCTTTAGGCACTCCAAACCCATCGCAACCAATGGACGTGCAAGTAAAAGAAGAGAATGGGTCTCCACCATTAGACACAAAACCGACAATGACTACGGTCATAGCAGCAGCTTTGAACCCAGTCCAAGTTGGGTTCGGGGAGATATTGAACTGTTCTTATCATAGAGATGTAATCATACAGTTGTCTACAATACTTCAGGTTAGTTATTATGATGAACATTTAGTTATCAATGTAATAATAAAATACATGCACGTTTACAGGAAAATAAACCCTATAGTTGTGTACTTTTGTGTTTATTGTAAAATTATTTAAATTGTTTGTTATTATTTACATCCACATACAAAGATAGATATCATAATTTGTCGTATAGCATGTGTCTGTGTGATCACGGCACTGACGACGACAATCTGGCACGTAGCGCCGACACACCATACACTTCGGACCAGTTGTCCTTAACTTATTATTTTAGATCTATCGTCAAATTTCATTAAAAATCAACAATAAAAGCAAACAAACAAATTATAAAAATAATTTATTTTAGATAATCTGTGTGGAGTGCCCTACCGCTATGGTGTGGTCGGGCTGCGGTTCATCAATGCAAGGCTCGCCACTGGACCTACTGCCTGTACCTCCTTCTGCTTTGCCGATGCCTTACATGGATTCTCACGTCACGGAAGAACATAGGAGAATGGTACGTAACAATCTTATTTTTAAGATTCCAAATGTAATGATAAAAATAACTCTTGTGAACTTGAATATATTTCTGAAACTACTTGAATGAATGCTGAGTGCAAAAAGTAAAAATCCTTAAATTTTTCCTGTACAACCTGTATTTTATTTGAAATATGTATATAATAAGTTTTCTTTATTTCTCACTGATTTTGTTTTAAACACAATATATAACTTTTCAGGTATATGAAGCTGAACAAGAAATAGCAGCTAGAAGTAAGAAAGCTGAGAGTAAATGGTGCACGGACAAATGGCAAACTAGTTCACAAGGTACAATATGACCGCTTCTATATAATGATTAGCAGACCCACAAAAGTTGTTTTGTCATATAAATCAATATTAAAAAATAGAGGTTGGTGATAGAAGGGTAAAAATTTAAGCTTGTGCGTATTATTAATGCCGAATTGTCAAAAAATACATTATTGTCCAAAAAAAATAAAAAAAAACAGTCCTTATCACTTAGGGGTATGAAAAATAGATAATAGCCGTCAGACTTACTGAATATGCATATAAAATTGCATAAAAATGGGTTAATCCGTGTACGAGCTAGCATCGTACATTATTTCGCAACATTAACATTTTATTTTACATTTCACATTTCATTAAAATCAGTTCGCATTCGGTCATCAAGGACGCCGCGCGTACTCATTACAATCATTAATTAGTTATATTTTAAGTTTCAATATACAGTTTTAATCAAGTTTCTATCAGTATCATTTATCAGTTTTACCTATCAGAATCTTTATAGTTTCGGTACAACCCGAACATTGGTCCTTCGAGCTTTTAGAAAAAGCGGGACCTTTACACGTGATTAGTTCGGTGAACTTTATTCGTGTCAGTGGTTCCGCGCAGCAACCTATTGGACAAAGTACATTGCTACACGTGTTGTGTACTAAGTTCTGGAATAGCAAGGTTCCAGATAACTTCACCACGCAGAACTATCAAGAACAGCTTCAACTCAGAACAACAACAAGGTTTTGAGTCATCAGTTAAGTATCACAGAGACAGCAAGCATCGTGGTCATCAGGTATCGTGAGAACAAGCTCACGCAAATACCAATTAGTAAGCAGCATCTCTCAAGTAAGATTTATCATTTTATTTTATTTTAATCATGGGCGTAATGGAAGACATCCTTACCAACCAACAGCAGATCGCCAACGCAATTGAACAGCTTTACAGTAATTTTAAAAAAGACAGTACTGAAAGAAAATCTCCAGATTATTTGCAACGTCGGCTAGATATTTTAAGTAGTTATTGGGCAGAATTTGACAATAACCATCAGAAGCTATTAGAGTTGGGTATAGAGAATCATGTATATGTTATTAAAAAAGAATATGAAAGGGTGAGGGGCAGGTATGAGCTAATCAAAACGTATATTCAAGATTATCAGCCAACGACAGCAGATAGACCAAGAACTCCGGTATTAAAGGCACCAATTTTTACTGGTCAGTCGCACCAACCATCGACATCTTCACGTGGAACGAACAGCAGAACAGAAGATATGCTGAAAAAACAATGTGCTAATTTTAAAGCGTTCCAACGTACAATATCAAACATAGACTTAAGTTCAATAACAGAGAAATGGGAGTTCGACGACTTATTACGCACCTTGCAGAGTCGTTGGGCTACTATAGACTCGTTACACTGGGAACTGGAAAGCGAGTTAGAGGGGTCTAACCAGGAATATGAACAGACTTTTTACAATTATGAAGGGGAGTTTAATAAAATAAAGAAGGCACTAAACAAGAAAATGTGGGCGATGGTACACACAGCAAATTCAACCCCTCAGTTGGACATACCTACGTTCCAAGGAAATTATAATAGTTGGGTTTCCTTTAAAGATCTCTTTACGGAGAGTATCCATAATAATCCCTCCATGTCCAACGCACAAAAAATGCAGTACCTGAAGGGAAAAGTAAAAGGGGAAGCGGAAAGGCTTATTCAACATCTTCAGATCAGTTCTGATAATTATTCTGTGTGTTGGGATATACTCAACCATAGATATAACAATACAAAATTAATATTTACATCGCATATTAATACATTGATGAACATTCCATTGATGCAGCAGCAATCATTAAACCATATTAAACGCATTCATGACACATCGATGGAATGCTTGAATGCCATTAAAAATTTAGGAATAGATACTGGAACATGGGACCCATTGTTGGTACATATATTAGCACAAAAGTTGGATAGTGACACATACAATGACTATATGGAGTCATTAAAAAACCCTAGAGAATTACCTATATTAAAAGAATTTTTGAAATTTTTGGAAACTAAATTCACAACATTGGAGACCGCACGTAAAAAACAAGACAACTATACATCAAAAACTAATAGTCAATTCACAAATCAAGGAGGTGCATATTATAAAAATCCATTTAATCAGAAACATAATTTTAACAAAAATACCTTTTCATCAAGTGTACAAAATTCCTCATCAAATAAAAACCTACATGTTAGTTTAAATACTAAATACAACTGTCCAGTCTGTAATTCCAGTGACCATGGAATTTATTATTGTCGGAAATTTTTAGAAATGCCTGGTTACATGAGACGGAAAACAGCTGCCAAATTAAATCTATGTAATAATTGCCTTTATAATCATAATGGAAAATTATGTTTTTCAAATAATAGATGCCGTGATTGCAAAAAAGATCACAATACATTATTGCATCACGCGTTTACCTATAGCAACAAGACACCCGACGCGAACATTACTCCATCGAGTTCAACGACTGCACCGAATTATGTGCAAAGCAGGTCACACGCGACACTAGAACGTGATACTTCCGAAATTTTGCTTGCCACTGTAGCAATCAAGGTACAGGCTGCAGATGGTACATACCACAGAATGCGTGCTCTTCTCGATCAGGGCTCTCAAACATCATTAATAACTGAAAACGCGGCACAGATATTAAAAATACCACGTCAAAGATGCAAGGGGGTAATTTCAGGAATAGGTGATAAGGAAAACAGTTGTAGAGGAGCAATCACAGTAAATTGTTCCTCACTAAACAGCGATTATACATTTCAAACAGAAGTATATATTATGAAAAATCTAATCAAGAATTTACCAAGTTATACTTTCACCAAACCAAGTTGGCAGTATTTAGATCATATCAAGTTAGCAGACCCCGAGTTTTTTATCAGTAAACCAGTGGACTTATTGCTGGGAGCAGACGTTTATTCAAATATAATTATGGATGGTTTATGTCGGTCTGAGTCGACATTGCCAGTAGCACAACAAACACAACTAGGGTGGATTTTAAGTGGCCATACTACAACATATCATAAACAATGTAATGTTATATTACACAACAGTGAGGACATCAGTCGTTTTTGGGAGATAGAAGATATCTCAGACCGGTCAGATATAACGATTGAGGATCAAAACTGTATAAAATATTATCAGTCGACAACTAAGAGGCGGGAGGATGGAAAATATGAAGTGCGATTACCATTAAAATCAGATTATCAAGAAAAGTTAGGAAATTCTAAAAATAAATCTATTGCACAATTTTATCAACTGGAAAGAAAATTCAATAATAACACTCAAATTGCATCCAATTATAAATTATTTATTAACGAGTATTTATCGCTCGGTCACATGACACCGGCGACCACCACAGTCGGTAATATGAGTATCGCTAATTATTTACCTCACTTTTGCATATTACGGGATTCAATTACAACTCAATTAAGAGTAGTTTTTAATGCCTCCGCTAAAACTACAAGTAACTACAGTTTAAATGATGTGATGTATAGAGGTCCAAATTTACAACAAGACTTACAAAGCCTTATAATTAAGTGGCGTCAATATAAATACGCATTTACAGCAGATATAGAAAAGATGTTCAGGCAAATCTGGTTAAATTTAAAAGATCAGAATTTACAAAAAATAATTTGGAGGGAGAACAAAACAGAAGAGTTAAATAATAATAATAATAATAATAATAATAATAATTTATTTATTTGCTTGCTACATGGTAGTTTCGGATCTTATTAACTAATAAAAGTACATGACATGCAGCACCCCTTAGAGGTATGCAAATATTCAAATTAAATCATATTCAATTTAATATAAAATTATGTCATTACATTACGAATACCCACAAATATATTTAAATATCTATATTAATTAATTACTGTCAATATTTATAGTTATTAATAAAAATTATATAATGTCATCTATTTTGCATGTAAAATAATCTTTCACTGAGTAAAAACACTTATTTATCAGCCATTTCATTAATTTGTCTTTGAACCATTTTAAACAAAGATTTGTAATTGTAGTTGGTAATTTATTATATATATTTATGCAACAGGTATAACTATTACTGTGATACAAACGTGTTCTCATTTTTGGTAACACAAGTTTTCCAGGATCTCTCACAGAAAATTTATAGAAGTCACCCTTTTTTATAAATAGATATGAATGCATTTTAACAAAAAGGCAGCATTCAAGTATGTACATTGAAGGGACCGTGAGTATCTTTAATTGGCGAAACAGTGGCGAACATGGTGTCATCGGACGCTTACCACAAATTGCTCGGATACACTGTTTTTGCGATACGAATGCTCTGTTAATATCTACCGAGTTACCCCATAGCAATATGCCGTATTTAAGGTTAGAAGCTACATATCCATGATATGCGGTAACCGCGGTTCTTTGGTCTACTAATTTTGACAGTCTCCAGAGAGCATAAACAAACCTATCTAGTTTGTTACTTACTTTTTTCACATGCTGTTTCCATGAACATTGGCTATCAACTGTAATACCGAGAAAACGAATTTCTTTTACTTCATCTATAGTTTCCTTGTTAATTTTTAGTATTAATGGGCGAGTTTTCGGTTTTCTGTTATAAAATCTTATATACTTAGTTTTTTCAACATTAATGTTTAAATTATTTATATTTAACCAGTTTATAATATTAGCAATAGTATTATTGATGTCAATATTGAAATCGATCCCTATAGTCTCTGATATTACTATTGAGAAATCGTCTGCAAACAAAGTAGATTGGTGTTCAGTTACACTTGATAAGTCATTGATATATAGTATAAATAATAATGGACCCAATATTGTCCCCTGTGGAACTCCTATATTATTAATATATATTTCAGATTTATAAGATATTTCTTCAAAATTATTATTCATTCTTGTAATTTCTACATATTGACGTCGGTTTCTAAGATAACTCGTTATCCATTGTAATACAGTACCACGTAAACCATAATTATCACATTTTTTTAGAAGA